TTTTTTTTTTTTTTTTTTTTTTTTATCGGTATCACCCCAAGCAAGGCAATAAAGCTACTAAAATGTAAGCGGTTACAGGATGTGAAATTAGTAAAGAGAAGAAAGAGAAAAGCTATCAGGAGGACAGTAGATAGTGACTGACATTGCATTTAAATTTTTGCAGATGAAAATTTGTTGGAAAGCATGGAACCAGAAGGGAGTTCCCCAAGTAAAAAGTGCAAAAAAAAGAAACTGTTAGCATAGAACTTTTCAGCTACATCTGGAGCAGCTCAAATGTAAATTGATGAGATCTTGATACCAGTCTAGTACTGCACTTAAGTTCATACAGTCACTCAGTCAGGTACCATAGTGAAGAGCTCATCTGAACAATTACCATGAAAGTATTTTTTTTTTTTTTTTTTTTTTAAAAAAAAAAAAAGTCATAGAGGCAACTTTACAATGGTGGGTAAGTGACTAAAGCTGAGCCGCCATATCAGGACCAATAATATTGCTGATTCTTCTTTGGATCTTATCAAGGAGCTCAAGGTAAATAGCAAGGGCACTGGACCATATGTGGCAGAATATTCTAAGCAAGGACTAATGGTAGATTTATAGATATGTAAGATAGATTAAAAGTTTTTTTTTTCTTTTCCTTGTTGATGATTTGCCTTTAAAATAATAAAAAAAAGTACGATAAAAACCTATATTCTCTTTTTGAAATTTTTATTTTGTCATCTGAAGAATATGTTTCATTGACTAAGTGACTTGTATTTTGTAATGTATGTGTTGGTAGTCTAACAGTTATCGGTGAACAGAATTCAAATTTCAGGCTGGTCTGTTCACTTTTACACAAATGCCTTTCGAAAAGGTGTGAATCCATCTTTCACTCCACACTCAGCTATGGGTTAAATAGCAGGGTTGACTGGGGTCTCTAGCTTTGTTAGGCAGTCTAAGAAAAGGAAAACTAAATTCCAAACTGTAGAGAAAGCAAAGAGAAACCATTCCACTATTTTTCTCAAGAAGGCATGGAAATTCACAGATAATAAAGAAAATTAATCTATAGAGAACCATGATTGTCAACATCCTGAAAGGGCATGGCACTTAAAAAAAAAAAAGTTGTAAAGCAATAGACTTTGCTCAGGTTTGATAAATTATGTTGTTTCACTTACCTGATTTATACCATTAGAGAACTGTACAAGGGTGTTTTTTTTTTCTCCTCTCCAATAAAGTTGCTTATTTTGTCATAATTAATAGTTAGAACACTGAAATGCATTGTATCATGTTTACAGTTGGGATCTGATGCAGAAGTCATGTAAAGATCTTTAAGCTCAGTGAAGGAATCTTAAAAATAAACTACTATGACCTTTTATTTTAAAGATTATGAAATTTTAGTGTCTTTTTTTTGTGGTGAAAAATACTGATTTGAAAATTCTTGCAAAAATCAAATAATTCTCAAATTTTAATGAAACTTTCAGGACTTATTCACAAATAAATTAATTTTTTTTTTTTTTTTTTTTAAAAATCTTGATAAAAATATTTTTCTTTTAATTTAATCTGTTACCCACCACTTACTTAATTTTATTAAATTTTGCCCTACTTAATATATATATTAATTAAAAGCAGAACTCCATGGAGAATTTATTTCATCAATTTCTTTTTGTAAAACAGGACCCCTAGTTACTGAAAATCTGCTCTGAATCATAAAATAAAAAAAGACATTTAATTAGAAAAACTTGTAATTACATTTTATATATATATATATATATATATATATATATATATATATATATATATATATGGATTTTTTTTTATTTATTTATTTATTTATTTATTTTTTTTTTTTTTTTTTTTTTTTTGGTGAATAATGAATTTTTACAAGAATTGTTTTCATTTTTAAAAAATTTTAATTAATTTATAAGTTTTAAATCTTTTAAATTTCTCTATTACTTTGTCCCGGTTAGGTGATATGGTTATTAAGTATGAACTATATTTACTATTCATAAGTGGAAAAGCTTAGTACAATTTATTGATCAGTATTTTAAAAAGAACTTTGAAATTTTTAATTTTTTGTGTGTGTATAAACATGCACATTTTTGTAAATATGGATGTCCATACATAACATTATCAGAAAATAAGAGTGATAACTATAGTAAATTTAAAGCCAAAGTACCTAAAATTCAATAAAATATTAGATTATGGAGAATATTTTCCTAAATTTTTAAGATTATTGGGTAGTTAAAAAAGTGCTCATGTTATGTTACTATGTAAATTTTACAGATATGTCCACCAGAGAAAAAAGATAAATTTCCATCTGTCTGTCAAGCTGTCAACACCTTAAATAAACAGCTACTGCTGTGTTTATATTAACATATATGGACCTTATTGCATTCTTATATTTTTTTATTGATTACCTATGTACAAATAACTTGGAAAAGATATTATTCCATCTCCTCTTTTCTAGCTATGGGTTAATTAGTTGGACTTGAATCTGGAAAAAAAATCATTGTTATTCTAAAAAAAAAAATAATGTAATTAAAAAAAAAATTACAATGCAAAATATATTTTGGCATTAAATTACTCACAAAAAATTGATAGCCTTAAAAAAAAATAAATCAATTATGCATGGATTTTCTTTATTTTTTTTTTATTGATTCTCTATGACCATTGATGATACTAATGTACTTACCAAGAGAGTTATACAATCTATTCCTCCATTTTGACCTTCAGAAACATCTAATTTAGTAATCAATAGTGTACATATTACTCTCATCTAACCATATTTATTTTCATCTTCACTTACATTTTTCTTAATTTTTGTGTAGGTTCTTGAACTAATATGACAGATTTTTACCAGTTACATTATTTAGAAAAGATTGTTTCTGACTTGTTTTTATATATATATATATATATATATATATATATATATATATATATATATATATATCTCACATAAATTTGGTAATTTTTTTTTTTACATTTATTTTAATCATTTAATCAAAAATTTTAACAAATCAGTAAATAATATAAAATGGTAAACAGCTAAGGAAGAACAGAGCTACAAAATCCATATTTTGTTAATTTTAAATAATGTTGGGAAAAACAAATTTATCTGATAACTACACACACACACACACACACACACATCATATATATATATATATATATATATATATATATATATATATATATATATATATATATATATATATATGCACACACAGGGCGCGATAGATAAATTGCCAAAATTGATAATAATGCTCACATCTCAATTTAACAGATATATTTACCTAAAGTATACAAATATATATCTTGAAATATTAAAGAGTAAATTTATTCAATAAAATCGCCATTGGCTTCAACCACAACCTTCAGATGACTTCAGAATCTCTTGCAACTCTTCTAGACAGTTGCCTTGTTTAAGTTGGTGAATGCTGCCATAATCCTTGCCTTCACTTTATCTTTGGTGTTACAAGGAGTTTTTTTGGTCTCTCGCTCAACTGCGTCCCACACATAATAATCAAGAGGGTTGTGGTCTGTGGTGATGTTGTTGGAGAAATTGTCTGACAGTTGTGACTAAGTTCTCCTGCTTGTGTAGCATGGTGCAGAGTCCTGTTGCCAGACATAGGGTCTTTCAGCAGCTACCCTCTTGATCTAGGGCAACATTACCTCCTCAAGGCACTTGATGTAAGCCTCTGTGTTCAGTCTGAGGCCTTGTGGGAAGATGAATGAAAGCATAATATCACCATCACTAGTGATCACTCCAAACACTTTTGTAATCACCATTAGACTCATCCAACTCTTTCCATATCCTCTGCACTGTCCTCAAATTGACATCCAAACACTGTGAAATGTTCATATTGGAGCTTCTGGCATGAATGCCAAGCAGTACAGTATGCCATTTCCAAATTTCTGGTGGAGTGAATGGTGTCATGGTGGTCTTTTTCTCTCAGACTGTGCCCAACTGACTCTACTATACTGTGCAGTTGAAAAAATCAAAACAAACAACATGCATGTGCAAAATTAAATTTTTTTTTTTTTTTTTTTTTCCCCCTTTTTTCTTTTTCTTTTTTTTGCCTTTTTTCTTTTACCTTTCAATTGTAGCTATTTTGATTTCTGGTTTTCCAGATATATACTGTCATTAATTCTTGAATGTTCTAGTGTTTTCTTGAGTTAGAAAAATTGTATTTCATTTTTTGCATAAATTTTTTTTTTTAATATAATAGTGAACATTGAAGTCAACACCCAGAGGTGACTTTTTTCATGATAAATGCCATCATCAGGCCATTAATATATACATGTGTGTGTGTGGTGCAAATGACTTTTAATTCTTGATTTGGATATTTTTGGCTGTCTTCCACATGTGTTATATAACATTGATTATTCCCATGGGTTATACTTTTGATTTGATTGCTATTAATCTCAGCTGGTCTACCCAATAATACTTTATTTGGTAAGAAATTTTTACAAGATTTCGCTGACCACCTTTGATCTATTCAGTCATCCACAATTTTGTATCTATAAAATGTACATATCTTTTGTGTTTTATTTCCTTTATTTGAAATAAAAAATATGCATAATATGCTGAAAAAAGTTGTTTATTTTCTTTCATCTTCATTGTTAGTATCAGTAAACAAAAATGTAGTTATGACAGCAGTGACAATATAATTATTTTTTTTTTTTTTTTCAAAGTTAAAACTAAAAATTTCAAATATTGAATTACAAAAAGCAGAATGACCTTTTTAAATTTTCCTAATATTTCAAATTTGTACCATGCTTGCTTTTACAGTCAAATTATAAGAACAGTTTTTTTTTATTTATGCTTTATTTAAAGACAAATGTCAGCTTTGTAACATTTGTAGCATATTATTAATTCTTAATAAAAAAAAAAAAATAATGACTTTTGTGGAAGTAAAAATTAAATTATTGTTTATTCCTTTTTTATGAGCTTCAAGCCATTTGTGAGAAATGAATGATATAAATATTACATCAAATTACTATATAAATTATCAATTATAATTGTGGGTTTATGGCCACAGTGAAACACCAGTTCCTGTACAACAACTAAAATTAAGCAACATTGAGCCTGGTCAGTACTTAGATGGGTGATAGCTTGGGAATACCAAGTGCCGTAAGCTTGGCTGTGTGGATGGTGTAATGGATAATGGCTTGGAATTGTTAATCAGAGAGGTGAGTTCCAATTCTCATTGGGTTCATTATATTCACTTATGCACAAATACCCTTGGGAAATGTATGAATCTATCTCTCTCCCCCCTCACCAACTATGAGTTAATTAGCAAAACTTTTATCAATAAATTATTAATGCTCAAACAAATTTTTACAATCTAAAAATATTTTCTGGCTTTAAATAACCTGGAAAGGGTTGATAAGTCGTAGGAAACCAATTGATCAATTATAATTGTATAGACATTAAATGACTTTGTTTTTAACCTCTACACTTATTAGGTCATTTATTTATTTAAATGCATGTTTATTTAATTCTTTCCTCTAGCCAGAATAGTGAGTATTTGGCAAGTGCTTTATTTTTGTTTGAAATCAGTTTTCATTGTCTTACTGCTGAGTCATATACTTCATTGCTTGTGGCACAAATAAAGATAAAACATTTATGAGAAAATTCTAAATGCAACATACACACACATTATTTGCTTTAAACTTGTAATGCCTGTCAAACAATACTTTCTTGTGCATTTTAGCTGTAATACAAGGCTCCATTCCTGGTAGAATCCATGTTAACTTTTCTCTTGTCATTAAGTGGCCAATACATCTTTGATTCAACTCTAGCTGTCTAATCTGAAATGAATGAAGAAAACAACAATTATTTGCATTACAAAATGATTGAATCTAAAATATAGCACATAATATGTATCTTTTTAGTGTTCATCTGAAAAGGTAACAAAAGATTTAAAAGAAAAATAGATAGGAATAAAACTCTGCTTCCTACCAGTTCAAGTCATCAGTTGTGTTAGACCAGAAAGCAGTAATAAAACACTGGAGCTAATTTTGCATGACTCGCACTTAAATCTATTATGCAAATTTTTAATTAGTTGAGCTTACTTTAATTAGTACAGTTGAATTTTACACACATTTAAGATAGATTTGGCTCTTAAAATAAGGCCTTGAGAAACACATTTTATGTAACTATTTTTTAATTTAGCTTAGAAATTGAAGCATGATGGTCAATTATGTCCCCAATATATTCTATGCTGTTTCATTATTCACTTATTTTTTTTCTCAATAGGAGTTCATTTTTGTTTAGAAATCAGGGATGTTTTGAAAAGAGATATATATGAGGAAATGTATGAAAATATATATATTGTATTAAAATAATTTGACATTGATGTCAAATTACAATGTTTTATTCTTTAATTGGTAAAGTGAGGAAATAATCACTTGTCTATCTGTTTCTCTTTCTCACATCCTTTTATTTGTATTGTTTTTTTTTTCTTTACCCTCTTTTCTCACTTCTTTCCTTATTAAAAATAAAAGTGTCAAGTGAAAAACTCACTTGAATTCTTACAAGCTGAAGTTAATTTGTTATGCTAGGAACTCTGTAGATAGAAGGCTGAGTTGAAAATATTATATTTTCTGATTATGGACTTCTCCTGCATACAATGGCTAATTAGATAGTTATACTCTTTTGATGTTGTATATTCTGTAACATAGGTGGCCAAACTGCAACTCTCAAGCCACATGCAGCTTTTTGACCTGGCTCATGGAAATTTGTTGGCTGAGTTCCTTTTCTCCTCACAGTTAAAGATAAATAAGAAAAATTTCAAGCTTTATAATTATTTACTGGGTATGAATTGAGTTCCCATTGGATTAAAATGTAAGTTTAATGTTCATGGTTAGTAAAAATGTTGAAGAATTTAAATCCTAATTTTAATGCTAGATTTGAGCGAGGCATTATTCTTTAGTGCTGAGGGAAGGAATGGTGGAAGGCAGAGGAAATAAAGAAATTTCTGGTCAGCAAAGGGTTAAAGAAGAATGTCAGAAGACTAAGGTCATGGGTAAGGATATTAACGGGAACTGCACTCATGTTATATACATTAATACAGTGTAAATTTTGTTCATGTATTGCAACTATCAAACATCTGAACGTTATAGTATTTGACTCTTATATTAAGCAAGTTTGACTACCCCTGTTCTATAAGTTTGGTCACTGCTGTTTTATAAGCTTAATAATTATTGGGAGCTTGAGTGAGAAGGTCTTGTCTATAGATGTAGCTTAATCTGAACCTTTTGGTCAACACATTTAATTATTTTTTATCATTTCACCTCCAACAAAGCAATAATGTCACTAAAATCCAAGGAGTTACTGGGAGTGAAACTTTTACTTTTATAATATAACTTTTTATGTTGTTGCAATATAGCATCTCTAACAAAGTTTCATTACTTTTTATTAGTAGTAATTAATATTTTAATGAAAACATTTTTGTTTTCAAACAGGATTAAAGTTAGAACCCCCCATTTTTTTTTTTTTTTAAATATTTTGAAAAGACAGTTACCCATGTGAATAAATTTCTACCTCTAAATCAAAAGCTTTGTAAACATTTTTTTTTTAACTCACAAATGTATCTTTCATATATGAATGATAAGTGATAATGATCTTTCTTTATTTATAATTGTAATTCTTTCATCTTTCTTTGAAATATGATTAGCCATTTGAAAGTATAGTGCGAATTAGAAAACAATTCCAAACTGATGCTTTACTATGAGTCTTTTTTAACATGCAAATTATCTATATTTGATTGTCTCTAAATGCATCTGATTTATATAAAAGTATGATTACTGCGAAATCATAGCTTTCAATAAATGACACTATGTAATCAGTGTTTTCTAAGTTTTGAAAGTTTTTAATAAGCCTTTAAGTAATTACATGTTGTATTGGTTCAGTTTTGAACATTTGAAAATGATAATTCCAAACTGTAGATTGTGAAATGGATGACAATAGGTTTTTCTGTGCTGATAAAAATCTATTTTCTGCTGTAATTCATTTAATTTTAATAAACTTTTAAAAACATTGTTTCATTTGACATGATTAGAATTTTAGAGAAAAACTATGACAAAGTGGAAAAAGTTTCTGTGTGATGCATTTCATTCTTAGGACTTCATCAGACTAAAGTGATGTTTACATTGATGCAATTACATGTGCATGAAAGAGGATGCTGAGAATTAAAAAAAAAAAGAAAATTTTTTTTTTTTTAATGTTTTCAGTATATAGTCTAGCCAATTTAATTTGCCTTTCTTTGTTTTCATCACATTTATTATTAAATAACTTATGATATTAAGATATAACAACAATAATAGAAGACCTGCGGAGGAAAGTGAAATGCAAGAACCTGAACATAAATTTACTCTAGATGGTCTAGCTATTAAAGCATTTTCTAAACATTTTCATCTTAGTAAATTAATTTCTCTTTTAATTAGAGTAGGATTTTTTAAATCAAAATTATTATCAGGGTCATTATGCTGCGTAACTAATGCATTTAGTGTGTTGTTTTGCAAAGGATTCCTTTTATGTTTATATAATGTTTTATTTAAATTCCTTGAGGTTTCTCCTATGTATTCCTTGTGACAATTATTACAGGTTTGTTATTTTTTATTTTTTCAAGCATTGGTTTTACACAGTTAATAAAATTTTATTTTTCAATAACAGGAACATAAAAAGTTATTAACAGAATTGCTATTATTACATATCACTTCTTGCTAATATGTAGACATGCATATTTCTTGGCAACAAAATGTTTGTTTAAAATAAAAATGCTGTTTTGAAGGATTCATTCCAGAAGCTATAGTGATGAATAAAACCAAGTCTTACCTCAAAAAAGAATTTGTGTTCTATATGTTGCCTTTTGAAATAGAAAATCAAGATTGGATCAGCTTTGGTAGGACTTGAAATATGGTAATTATTTGTGCTTCCTTACTAGTTTCAACCAGTCACAACCTTTCTTACTTCAGTAAAAGAACTCTACTTAGAACCACAGGAGAGTTTTTTGGCTCTTTGTAGGTAAAGAGCTAGTTGTGCATTACAAATTGTGATGTGAATTTTTTACCCTTTTGATTTATGCTCCTGGTATTTTCTGACAGATTTGCGAGATTGATTTTTGACACTTGGAATTATAACCCCAGGCTTATGTTTTTTTTTTTTTAGATCTGAACCTCCCTATTTCTATTTACCTCCAGAAGCTTTGATCATTCAGGAAGTTCTGTGAAGTGTGGGAAAGGTAACAATTAGATGATGATGAGTAAGATGGAAAACTTCTCAAACCAACTGCTGTTTCTTTTTTTTTTTTTTCTTTGTGAGTTGTTTATGATTTAGCATTGTTGCATAACATGTAGATTATGTAATATTGTTTTCTTTTTGTATATTTACCACCTGTATTCACTATATTTTGGCAGTGACTGTCTTGTTCAGCCCAAACAATTCCCAATAAACAATGTTTAATATATCCCACTAGTAATTAAACTTAACCTTTCCAATGCAACTCTTGTTTTGGTGTTGCTACAGAAGTGGCACTCTTTTTCTGTAGAGTTTTGTTTTCACATTGTTGGTATATACAGACATAATTTGTTTTATTTTATTTTTTGTTTTGTTTTTCATCACCTGTCATAATTGTGTCAATAATGGTCAGGCATCTATGCATATCAGAGAAATGAAAGACTTCCTTGTTTTCAGACAATGATTTTGCTTTTTATCCATTAGCAAATATATATCCATATTTAGAGACTTTGCCAATTGCAGCCAAATGACACTGTAATATAAATGCAATTGAACTGCCATCCTTAGTTGGTCTTTTTATGGATTTGTTTTCATAGCCAATTGTTGTTCTTCCTTATCCTGTTCAAATGGTCAACTACATGATTTATGTAATACAGACAGTACTGAAACTTGTTGAATTATACATAAACTAATAGTATTTTCTTTTTAATAATCTTGATGGGTTTGGTTTATTACTTTGGTTGAATAGTGTCCCACTTTAGAATCCTACTGCAGACATGTTCTTAAATGTTTTTAACACATTTTCTTCTCAAACATTTTGAATGCTTTGATGTAATGACTGAGAATGACTTCATATGTGCTTCAAACTGGAAAGTTTTGTAAACATTCTATACTT